TGGTACCGTAACGTTTTAATTTTTTTAGTACCGACTTGGTACCGAAGTACCGGGTCTTTTGACAACACTAGTCCATTGTGTGTAATAGTTTTGTTTATTACTCCACTACAGTGGTTACAAGAATCTGTAGAGATAAAGGCTTTGAACACACAATAGTCTAGTCTTCAAATTGAGGGTTGTTTTCTGATGACTGGTTTTCCTGAAGGCCAGATAGTAGAGTCAGGAGTGATACAGACATCATTTCAAAGAACAGTCTTTATTCTCAGTTATAATGTGCTGTAAAATAGTGGTTAACTTTATGGAATGCTCTAACAGAGCTCTCTTTGTGTGTGTGTGTGTGTGTGTGTGTGTGTGTGTGTGTAATGGAAGGTGGGGTCAGTGGTGGTGCCGGTGGCTCCAGATGGGCTTTTCCCTGCCATTGGCATGCACTCCCTCGGTGAGGAGGTACGGTTGGACCTGCAGGCAGAATGGGGTTCGGAGGAGGACGACAGCGTCATGATGGTGGACAGCCATGAGGATGAATGGGCACGCCTGTATGATGTCAGAGTCAGTGGCACGGTGAGTAGGGGATGGCCATCAAAAACCAGACCAAATGAGAAACCAGTGAGTTTCTTAATTATTTTTGCCTCTGCAGGTGTATGGAAAATATGATGAGTTGAGTGTCGGCATGGTGAAAGACTGTAAAGTAAACCATAATTTACACTAGGTTAATTGGAAGTCATATATTGTTAGGAATTAGTGTTGCTTGCTAAGGCAAGAATCAATATTCCTGTTGCCATGTTTAAGCTTAGGGATTGTAATGAACCCTGAACCATGGCGGACATGAATGATGAAGTTTCGTGGCTCGTTTCTGAGCAGTTGAATGTACAATTTTCGCCTGGTGGATGATAAAACTGGCTCAGAGATTTGCTACAGGGTTCCCACGGGTCCTTGAAAGTTTGTGAATCTGAAAAAAAAAATTCAAGGCCCTGGAAAGTTTTTGAAAGTAAGCATACATAGATACAGGTCCTTGAAAGTGCTTGAACTTATTTTGTGCAAGAAGTTTTCTGGAAAAAAAATCATATTATTCACTCCGGTCCGCTAATGTGTTATTTCGCCAACACTTCGTGGCCTATGCATATTAGCTTGCTTGATTTAGGTTAGTTACGCGCATTTACGCGTTACATGAAGTGTTTTCCGCATGAGGTACTTTGTGTTGTACGTTGCCATGACGTTCACGCACGCACGAATCTACTACAATGGTACCTCAACGTTTCACACACACACAAACAAGCACACACACACACACACACACACACTGTTAAACATTGCAAAAATAGGCTGAAACCGCTAAAACGTGATGCCTGGAAAATGCAAGTTTCAAGATATTTGGCTCACCAAAGACGATTACAAAGAATGTCTTGCCAGAGATGAAAACTGTAACAATATGTTTCCATCACCCTGTTTTAATGCACATTTTGAAGTATCGCATCAGAAACGAATGATGGAAATGCCAATTGAAAAAAAAAACCCTTTATTCGCAAAAAAGTTTTTACGATCGCTTGAGGTGGTTTTTGTCTTGTGCAAAAAAAGGGTTAATGCGAATAATGGGAGATGCGAATTTTAGGTGTGCGTCAGGCAGCCTTATGTTTCCATCACCTTGTTTTAATGCACATTTTGAAGTATCGCATGAGAAACGCCAAATTTCGAAAAGAAATCCCTTAATTTGCAAAAAAGATTTTACGCTCGCTTGAGGTGGTTTTTTACTTGTGCGAAAAAGGGTTAATGCGAATAATGGGAGATGTAAACGCATTTTGCGAATAAATCCCGCATGAGCGTTCAAAAACGTAATGTGACTTTGCGCTATGGGACAGCATAACCTGACTAACCAGCGGACTGATTTTGTTGCCCAGTATCTGAAATGTTGTCATGGTCATTCTGAAGTGCCCGAGCAAAGTCTGTCGTCAAAGTATTTCTGTATAATTGCCTCCCAGAACGGTCTACCACGACTGCGTTCTCAAACAGCTGACATTCACCTCCGAAAGCAAGACCGCATTTATTGTTTTGTCTGCTCACTCAAAGCGCAAGTAATTTATTGTATTTGAGAATTATTATATTCAGTGACTTCTCTTACTTTTCTTAGTGATATTTAGTGCCAGTTTATCAGGAAGTGACGATTTTGTTCTCTCTGACTCGTTGAATGGAAACGGTGCTTGTTTGCAAATGTTTTATGCGATATTCCAATTTTGCACATAAGTTAAATTCACAACTTTGGATGGAAACCCATTAATGTATCTTAAAATGTAACCTTGCTCTCACTTGAAATGCGTCCCCACATTAACAGGGTGGCCACGGGTTCTTAAAAAGTCTTAAAATGTCTTATTATGCTTTTTCACTTTTTTAATTTTAGTCAGTGTGTATGTTTTGGCATAAAATGGCGCGACGCTGCGCTTCTCGTCTGGTGCACGACCGCCTGAAAAGCAGTTGTTTTTTTTTTTCACCTCCGTGCCCAAACGTCTTTGTTTGGGCTTCCGAAAGCGGATGATGTCAGGAAACAGTGGTTGCAGGTATTTTAATAATGTAAATTATGTGAAAAATTATGCGTTTTTCGAACCACCAAGCATGAGAGCATGTTCTAGTACACCCCCAAAACGAAATCAAGACTTTGTAAAAGAGCATAATAGGACCCCTTTAAATTCAGATTTGATGGGTCTTAAATATTTTCGGTCCCAGTTCCGCAAAAATTTCTCCGGTCTGACGGACCCAGTGACTGTTTAAAGTCATTGGACAGACAGATTCCTGATTAAAACTCAAGTGGCAAAAAATAACCAGTGAAGCATCGAAACGCAAGAATGATTCTTCTGATTTTATTACATTCAACGTAAACAGCGATTGGTAATGGATAGTGTATTTCTGGTATCAAGGTCGCGCTATTTAGGCTCGCGCTGCCTGTTTCTTTGTAAGACTTTTATGGAGAAATCAAATGAATGTATGAAATAAGCAAAAGAGCTGAACGGGACACAAAGAAACTCACAGAAGAAACTACTGAGGTAAAAATTCAAAATGTTAAGTTTTTTATTTCTAACATGTAGTTAAGCAACATACCATGGCAAGGGAGCTAATTGCCGAATACTCTCACGATTGCAAATGTTACATTGATTTTAGTTCAATAAACAAGTAGTTGAGTAGTCACGTAGTCACGTAATTGGGTTACTTACATTTTAGACACAGTATTGACTGTTTTGTTCCGTTTCACCAACTAAAATAGTTCCAAACAAAGATCACAGCAGAAGTATAGCGCAATCTCCAAGCAACACACAGCTGTGTTTTTGACTGAATGATTCGGTGAACGGTTGAATGAACGAGTAACTAGACTCACTCATTAAGTGACTTACCGCCACCTACTGGCGGGGGTAGTATGTTTAAAAGTATGTATTTCTCCCGCAACATTTCCATTTTGTATATTCAAAATTGCATTTAAAACATTAATCTCATAACATTAATGCAGTTGTAATTGTGCAATGTAAATTAATTTGTTTGATAACAGCCTTAGTGTAAATTGGATCTATTGATCAATTGTAATAATTTTACATGAAATATGATGCATACATTTAATAAGGTTTAAAAAATGGCCTTTATAAAAGTAAATAACATCCTGAGGTTAATATAAAAAATATGCAGATAAATGTAAAAGCCGACTCGGGAGCTAGGGAGCTGATTGAGACGCACCCTTGGTCATGCGGTGCTTTTGTGGGGATATTTTGTATAGGATATTGTCTGCTGATATGACAAGTTTGCTGTATATCGTAATAATAAAAAGCATGTTTGACAATGTAAATATTACATATGTAAAATAATGTGTGATTTCCATTAGAGGTTTGGTCTTAAATTTCATATAGGTATTAAAAAGGTTTTAAAAAGTCTTAAATCTAACTTGTTCATATCTGTAGACACCCTGATTAAGTCCTTGAATTTGAAGTTAACCAAGGTGTGGGAACCCTGGAACATGAGTGCTACTTAATACTTTTGTGGAAACCATTATATCTATCTATCTATATATATTAGGGGTTGAGCGACTTCTGATTTTTTAAAGTCGACTTTTATGTGATGAAAGTCGAGTCGAAGTCGACTAGTCGCTGATGACGTCATTAATGAACAAAAAATTCTGGAGCTGTGATAAACACCTTGTGCACAGCTATGGCATATGA